ATTCTTGAGAAGTTATATAATATATAAAACTTTCTAAGAATCTTAATAGTTGGTTTGTATCGAGTCTGTTGTAATAAGACCATATATGTAAAATATGAATATAAATATGCATGTAGCATGTTTAGAGTAATATTGTGAAGTATGAAAGTGGATCTTTCAGTTTTCTTCACCGCTAATTGCAGTTGGATTCGTGTACTTTTTTTGTATTTTTTTTCAGTTTTTTAAGAATTTATTGTCGTTCCTTTTTATGTCTCTTTTCATTCTATAATTGTTCTTTCTTTTGTTTATTCTGTTCCTTTCTCTAGTCAATGGTCACATGTACCAAGAGACGTGATCCTCTTCTATGCAATCCTCATCACTTCACCGCCTCCCCCGTCCAATTGCGTTCCTCACCGCTTTCTTGATTACGCGTAGGCATCAGCTTCTAACACCGCTAAATATTCCTTCTTCTCTTTCTTTCACCGCCTCATCTTTTATTTCATAGGTTTTTATTGAACGATGAATTTTGATCATGTTCTTCGTCTGCTCCCATCTTCGATTGAAGCTTCGATCACTTTTCACATGCTTTTCTGGTAAATGGAATTGATCCCCAAAATACACAGCCTCTTATCCTCTTCTCGGCTAACCATCTTCCTCCATGATTTCATAGATTTTTCTTGACCGATTTCATCATTTCTAAACCCTCAATCTCCAATAAACACGTTGAGCTATCGAAGTCGAATGAGCATAGCTGAAACAATTAGGCTATTACTCCATATTTATGTTTTTCTAAAGTGTATCCCAGCTTCCATTCACCATTTACAAGACATACAACGATTACATCGATGGGGCTATTAAGCGCTACAACCTAACAACAATGACCGAGAAGTGGTAAACTTTTTTATCTGCTAAAATCTACTATTTTGTTCTTTTAAATGCACAAACTTATTATGTGTCTGAAGGTGTTATTGGAAGCGGAATCAATTTTGCATATGAGTTAATTTTCACTGTAGCACTCTATGGTTTTGCTTGTGATGGGTGGTAGGTTCCTTTCCCAACGTCATTAAATTTCTGGTAAGCATGCCAAGTGTTTGACATTTTTCTTCAATGAACTTCATATAATACTTTTATATGGACCCATGATGTACCACTATAGATGCATTCACTAGATAAACAGCAATCGGTGCTCTTGATTAGGTTGATTAACATAATTTTATATAGATTAAGAATCTAGGAATAAATTTAAGCATATAAGAAGGTTAATCTTTCTATATAGAATATGATAATTTTAAATAGCATCTTCATTGTATTCTATGAAATTGGGTTTTTTCTATGCTTTGTTGTTGTTATTGTTATAAATTAAAAGTTAATCTGTTCATTTTCTAAGCATGTGGACCAAAATATATGTATTATGCTACACGTATTGATTGTAGTTATATAATTTGTACTACTTATGATGTTATGGTCTGATATAACATTAAATCAACCAATAATATTTATATAAAATGTAGTAATTATTAGATTGCGAGATACTTATAAAATAACATCGCTTTGTTATTTGCATCTTAAAGGACCTCATTTTCATTTTTTTTTTCTTTCGCACTGGTGTAAATGTACGATCAATAGAACTTAAAAAGAACATAACATATGTTTCTTTTTATAAAGTAAATTATATTTTAAAACAAAAATAAAATTTTAAAGTTAAAGTGACTAAATCATGTAATGTTCTGAAGTTAGTAACCATGTACCAACTTTATATAAACACAAATTTTAGATTAGCAAATTATTGTTTCATCTATTTACTTGTCCATGTGTTTTTGTTTACTATTGTATGTCATAGAATTTAACACAAAATTTGATGGATTGAAATGGATAACTTATAGCATATATATATATGTAAAAAGGCTATGAGATCCAAAAACTAATAGTAAAAATGGAGAAACAACAACAAATAAAGCAATCAGTTTAACAAAAGTCTAGCATACCTTCATGAAATTTTAATACTTTTCTTATTGGTTGATGCTTTTTAATGTGTTAATGCAGATAACATGTTCGACAGTGTATATATTGGAAAACAATACCCTATGAAATCAATGCCAAAGAACTTGATTTCACAAAGAGCTTGGACATGGCCAAGGTAAATCATGTTACATTGAAACATCTACTTTTGATAGGAGTCCCAACTTGCATTACAACAGGGTAAGATAAATTGTCTTTTCAATAGGGTAATATAAACTTTTAATCCTACATCAAAAAATAACAACATACTTTTAAACATTAAGCAAGTTACTTGCTTAAGCTTTACAGTTTGTTTTAAAACTACGTTGTTATTTCCTACTCAATGTTTAAAAGTGTGTTACTATTTTTTCCAAACGATTTGCACGTGCTTATTAAAATATTTTAAATTTTGTAAAGTTTGTTTAGAAAATAGAGTACACATGGGCATAAGATTTCGACTTTCTAGATTTCAAGCAATTTTTTAGCTTTTACAAATGAATCAAAAATTAGCAACGTATTTTTAAGTAAGATAAAAGACCAAAATACCCTTGGAAAAACTCATGAATTTTTTTAGTAGTAATTACCCTCTTTTTTTCTATTATTTATGAGATTCCTTTCAGGTTGCTGATATGTAATTTTGGTCTGTGCCACATGGGAACAGTAAGTAGTCCTTTTTTCAATTTTTATGTCACTTCTTTTAAGAGGCAACTGGTGTCTCAAGCTTCTTACCTAACTTGCCTCGGTTCAAAATGGAGGAGTAAAATGATGAATGTTTTATATTTGGCGTGTGATAAAACATTGTTAAAGTAAGAAAGTTGTCATATATATGGGTTGTTCATTTTAAAAAAGGGTTAATGTCATTTAGGCAACAACTGTTAGAAATAGAATTACAGTTAGTTAGTTATTTTTCATTAGGGCATTTTCATTTTTTCTATGAAGAAGTTAGTTACAAAATTGGTAGCTCAGCTAATTGGAACCTGCTTTGTATATATATTTTTCTTTGTGGTCTAACAAGTCCATTTGTTGAAGATAACAATTATTTAATCTAAGAAAAAGACCAGGTTTTTATAAACCTTTCAAAATACAACATTCCATGGTAACACTATTCATATATTTTTTTGTTCGGCCGAAGTAGGTGATCAATTTTATAAAAAATCTTGAATCAACACATTAATGATTTTATGCTAAAGTCCTATTTTTATTTGAAATTTTGTAAACTGCCTAAAAAGATTTGTGCCTAAATGATAGTTGTGTGAATTTACCTTCATGTTTATTAGAAGATAAAACAACTCACTAAAGAAATAAGATTCGACCCCATTTTCCTTTGCCACCTATTTCATCTAAGAAAATGTTTCCTCACCATGGAGGGGGATTTCTCTAACTTTTACATATTCTTTAATAATGGAGTGGGCAATCGATGAAACAGATGGAAAATGCAAATTGGTGGATTATTTATGTTAAATCTTTTCTACAAAATACTACAATTAACAAGAAAATAAGCCTTCTTGATCATTGGGTAAATAAATAAAAAAACGCATTCTTGATCATTGGGTAAATAAAAAAACGCATTCTTGATCATTGGGTAAATAAAAAAATACCATGAAATAATAATTAATTAATGGGTAATCTTTTTTTGCTTTCCTTATGCAACAAAGGTGTTTGGGGTTGGCATAGTTGCAGCTTAGTTGAGCCTCTACCTTTTTATCTTTGCAGCAGATATTACATAAGGTGGGATTTGTGGTTAAAGAAAGAATGAGATTGAGATGACAACAACCTCTATGTGTGTTATGTTGTTATTTGTAGAGAAGGTTATAATACAAAGTAGTAAGTAGTCAACAGTTACAACTGATTATCAGTTGATTATTGATCAATAAGTTTATACATATTTTGTTTTTCTAATTATTTTCATGTTTTTTTATGAATTTGTGGGGGTCTTTACGTTGTTAGGCTTTTTACACAATGTCAACAAACGACACCGGAATACCACCCTCCCTAACATAAGAAGATGCAAGAGATCTAGTTAAGGAGAATATGGTCGCCACATCGTATAATCTGATACAAGTCTAAAACAGAATCAGTACACCAAAAACAAACTCCACATCACACACCAAAAACAAACTCCACACCGCACACCAAAAACAAAATGTAATATTTCCTACTATATGTATGTCAACTATGAAATCTTTCCTACCATACATATGGTGCTACCACCATATGTATGTCAACTATGTAATATTTCCTATGTATTTATGCTGATGTCAACTATAACACTGTTCAAAGCATAAACAAATAGCCTATGAAGATAGACCGAACAAAAAATCTCACACCTGATCTTGCAACGCGGGATCACTCATCTATTATATATTAAAGTTATCCACTTCTTCTAGATATTAAAGTTATCCACTTCTTAGGAACAGTAAACTTCCTAAAAGGTTGGCAGAAATGGTCCCTTGTTTATGGGTTTGGTTGCAGTTCTCGTTTTCTTTTTGTTGGGGGCATTTTATGCCATTACATATATTTTTATTGGACAGGTGTTGCAAGGCCCCTTATCATAGTACTGTTCATAAGGTTAGTCACTCATCCAACCATGGTCACCGACACTGCTTCGTCTCTCTATTCTTATACTCTAGATTCTTTTCTCAGTTAAAGTTGGTCACCCCCACCGCTTCATCTATTCTTATACTTTAGATTCTTCTTGCCATTTCTTCTCCGTTAAATCCGATGAACACTACCATTGTCACCGCCTCCAGATCCTTCTACATGGCCTCTCTGAAATATTGCACTTGACCGTCTCCACCTCTTACTTACACCTATTTTTTCTCGATATGTGTTACAATCAGACTAACCATTCATCTTCAATTTTAGGCAGAACTATATCCGACGACACTGGTTCGACCACAACCTCCGTCGGTTTAGGGTTTAGTGGGAAACACAGTCGACTCTATATTACTACCACTGTCCAATATGTCACCAAACCTTCGTTGCTTGTTCCGTTCAGTTGTCCGCTTCCTTAACCTGAACTCATGAACCCTACCACCATCTCCAACCTTTATTGGTCTTCGTCGGCATTACTGAACCAAGCTTCCTCTCCACCATTGATGACATATTCGCCGAATCCAGGTAGCTTTTGGGGTTTGATTTTAAGGTTTTTTTCTTGTATAAATCAAATTCTAAATCACCTCTATTTTCATTTTCTGTTTGTTCCTTTTATTTTTCATTTTTAATCGACATGTTCAATAACACAGCCACGGACAAGAGCATACCCCCACCGTTAGCATTTCACCAATTTGCCTCACCATGACAGTCGCCTTTGGTCACGTCCTCCACTTCAGTCGCATAAATCATTATCTCTTTACCCACCATCGTCTTAAACATATATCTTCTTTTCCACTTTTGGGTCTTCATTTGATTTCAGTTTTCTTCCCTAAGGTAATCAACATTGGTCTTCATTTTCATTTCATTTTCCATTTCATCATGAACTTTTTTGACTTTTCTATCATAAACCTTATTGTTGAATTCAATTTCATTTCATATTCAGGATCCCAATTCTCTCCTCATTTCCATCAATCAAAAAGTTTAGTAAAATGATCCTTCTCTGCTATGAAGTTGTATGCTTGATGATTTGAATTCAAACTCTCAGTTAGGGCTTTAAGTGAAAATTAAATTTCGAATTTTGAATTTCGAATTTCTAATTCCATTCTCTTCAAATTCGACCTGAAAGTGACTTTTTTTGCGAATTCAATTTCCAATTATCTCCTTTTTCGTATAGTATTTTGCCATTGTTACTGTTGAGAACACTGAATGACCAAATATCCCTTTCCACATAGGCAGACAGTACAAAGATGATGCTCACATGTCTGTAAATGAGGTTTTCTACCATGGGATTCCAAATGGAAGGTATCTAGCTACCTTATAAGAAGTTGGCTTCTAAGCTTTGTGATGTTGTATAGACTTTAGGTCACATATATCTAAGCTTTCTTATATTACCCGTCAACTTCCCAATGAAATGTTCCAAAAACATATGCTAACCGTCTCCAATCGTCTAAGATGAACATGGTCATAGTCAAATGTATTTTACATCTCTGCTATTACTTCAATTACGTTCTGATAACAAATGTTATATACAAATTATCACTTAGTTAGAAAAATCATAAATAAGTAAATAACAATATATAACGATTAATCCATTTATTAGAAAAAGTTACTGATGTTTTATTTTGAAAAAGGTAATAAACAAATAAATGGAATATGTGTTATATATTGTATTTTAAAAAATGTCATAATTTTCATAGCTTAAAGCTAAATTTCATACCAAAGTTATTAATGTTTTTACCAATTTCCATGCATAAAATGCATGAGGACTTGAGACGGTAAAACAGGGGAACGAAAATCTTAGGAAGCAAATTAGGTACCAAGTTTCAATTTTTAGTTTTCATTTATCTAATTTTATAACTTGGTTTAATTTTTTTTATCCATAATATTCTGTGCAAAATTGAAAATAAATAAATTCTTGAATTCTTTTTTCTTTATTTTACTTAGCAAATATTGGGTGATTGCTTGGAAGATCTCAACTTTGAAGAATTGCTTGTGCTTGAAATAGATTCACAATTTTATAACACCCATAAATTTTAAACCAATTTAAAACATTTCAACACAATTAAAAACCATTTAATTATTCCATAATTTATTTTCAAAATCATAATCATCAAAGTATCTCAGTTTTCCAATGCTAAAAACATAGCGACAGGAGGAGTGGTACGATTATGTCTTCGTCTTTCCTCGATCACCAGAAGTACCTGAAACAACAACTAAAATTGTTAACCCAAAAGCTTGGTGAGTTACCCACAAAATACCACCCATACATATCCATAATCATATCATATAACGAATACAGGACACCATGCACAATAAGCCTTCAGCCTGACTGGACCGCCTCGCAAGGCCTACAACCTATCTGGATCGCTCTCCAGCCTTCAACATGATTGGACTGCCTCGCATAGCCTACCGCGTATCCGAACCGCTCACCGAGTATGTTGGTCTACAACACAAAGCAGGACCGCCTCAACCCAACCCCCACTTAAACAAACATGTGCACATAAATATCATATGCTAGCTAATATCATATAATAGTCAAACTGATCTGACAGATCATTAATCATAGCAACATCCTAATAACCCAGATACAGACCTAGTTGGTCACTAACATAGCATCATCCTATAACCAGAACACTAACCTAACCAGATCACTACACATAAGCATATCACCATCCTAACTACCAGGATGTAATAAAAAAAAATATCATGTCGTAACCAGATACAATCAATAAAGGGTCGGCCTTGGTGCCTTAGACCCTGTTGATATAGTGAGGATAACTCACCTCGCAACTGTCGACTGAAAATAGAAAGCTCAACTCTTGGATCACCGCCACAAACTCCACCACTGATATCCAACACTTCACAAAGTTCATAAATTCCCAAGATACCCCCAGGAGTCACATAGTAAATCCTAGATCATAGTCAAGGCCAATGGTCAAGGTTAACAGTCCATGTCGACCTGACTCGTCGAGCGCATCTAGCTACTCGTCGAGTCCCTACATAGCTTGCCAACTCACCGAGTCACTTGAGAGACTCGTCAAGTTCCTAGTGTTTGTGGCCAATAACTGTCTAGCTAATCCGTTGAGTTTCCTTGAAACTCCATGAGTTCATGCATGTCCAAGGGTCAGGAAGACCTTAGCTGACTCGCCGAGTCATTCGAATGACTCGTCGAGCCCAAGGAAATCTTCAACAGACTTGCCGAGTCACTCATCCGACTCGCCGAGCCCATGACCATCTTCATCGGGCTCGTTAAGTTGATTATGCCACTCGTCGAGTCCCTTCAGTCCTTCATCCACACAGATGCTTTTTAAGCCATGCAAAGGCCCCATCTTGTAGATCTAACTTCCCAAGGCATGCTTATAACGTAAAGTTGCGAACTTTCCGTGCATGCAAAGCTCTAAAGCCTTAAAATGACAAAACTAAGCTTGCAAAGAAGTTTAACACTTGATGGGGGTTCATACTTGTCCAAGCTGGCAACTTTATGGCCCTAGAGACCAAAGAGAGTTCAAATCTAAAGTTGCAACTTCAAATCTTAGCTCAAACACAAGAAGAGTTCCCTAAAAACCATCCAAAAGAGATCTAGGAAAAAATGAGTCAAGGTAACAACTTAATACCTTCAAAAGGGTGCCCACTAAAGTAGATCGCTGATTCCCCACGAGTTCCTTGCTTCTAATCACTTGTTTTCCCCAAGCTTTTCTCACCAAAATCCTTCTTCCAAGCTTAACACACCAAGAAAGCACACACACACACAAAAGAATTTAGGGTTTGGAATGACAAGATGTTGTAGAGGGGAGGCTGGGGAGGCCAATGATCCTTTAAATAGGGTGTAGAACCACGGAAATTAAGGTTTCACCCTCCAGCTCTTACTCGTCGAGTTCCTCTTTGGACTCAGCGAGTAGGTCACTTAATCACGTGGCCCAACCTACTGCTACTCGACGAGTCGAGCAACCAGCTCGTCGAGTAGACCTTGAAACCACAAAGATCTTATAACAAAAGAAATCAATACCTGTGGATCGGGCCATTACAAATTTGTTGTAGTCAAGATATTAAAAAATAAATATAATGGTTCACCTATATCCACCCAAAGGGAGACAATTTCCTTCCCTAAAACATAATTCTGAATCATGGGTCGCTACTTTAGTTGTCTGCAGAACATTTGGAATCAAGTTTAGGGTTAAATAAGCAAAAATGTTCAATAGTTAACCTTATTTTCATTTTTCAGGGAAATCTGCAAGTAAAGAAGTAGTTGTCAGGGGTTCAATGTTACCCCTAGGAAAGATGGTGAAATTTTCTTTTATACCTTTTATTTTTTTCTATGATATACAATGTTACATATATTTTGATATGTTATCTTTTTTTAAGCACATCTATGGAACAAAGGAACACGAAATAACATATAGAACAAGAAAAGGAAACAAAATGAACATCTCTGTCTTTTTTTCTTCATTTCTTTAAATTAACTTTTAATTTTTTAATTAAATTATTAATATAATCAAGTTAGAGAGGTCTAGAATCTTAATTATCTTACCTATTAATTTTATTTTGTTGGAGTGGAAATAAGGTTGTTTGTTTTCTTTGATGGAATGAAATAGGTATTTTACGAAGGAACGTGATAGAATGTAATGGAATAAAAAACTATGATGTACCCATTTTTATTTATAAAATTATTAACGGCATGAATCCGATAATTTTTCTAGCTATTTTCTAGCCATTTCTACAAATAACTAGACAATAGAATTCCATTATGATAATTATTGGGTTTTAAATGTTGCAGCAGCTGGATTTGATTTTGGCAAAAAGGTCCAACTTCAGAAATAAAAAATATAGGTGGATTTTATTTCACAGAAAACAAATAATCAGTCAATTTACCGTTTTGACCCTTTTTTTAAAATTGGTAATAAGTTATTGGTGGGGCCCATACTATCATGGCAAATGGTGTAGTGGTTACACTTGTTGGATTAAGTATGGTTGCACTTGCAGCTCAAAAGTTTGTTGTCCCTTTTGTTATTCTCGCTAGCATCCATAAGATAAAATGTTTTATAATTTTCATGATTATAAATTTAACAGTCGATTATGTTTTTTGTCCTTAAATATAGTTTATTTTTGTTTGCAATCTGATAAAAAAAATCAGATACTTGGGTGGAGTGCAATTTTGGTGACGCTAATTTGTTTTTTTATTTATTTATCTTGACTACACTGAAACTACAAGGATGAACTACATATTCATCTGCTTTAACATTATAACATTAGAAATGACTTTGTATTTACATGAAATTTTGGTAATTGGATTGGATTTTAATGGGAGAATATAAGAGTAGCTATTAAAACTTTCCTAATTTGAGAATTCCAACTATTGAAGTTTAAGAAGTTTTTTTTTAGAATTCCAAATATTGAGGATTCTGAATACTATCTGTTTATGACACATTTTCTGACTACCCAACATGTTTCTGATTTCAGATTGTCTTCTTTATGTGACAACTCAACAAGACATAGCCAATTTTTGCAATCACATCACCTTAGAGACATTATAGCTTCTTTGAACGTGAGTTCGCTTCAGTTAATATAAATCTTTCTCTTTCATCTCAAATCTTTTTTTTTTCCAGATTATTCCCTATTTGACCTTGTGGTATTACATTAGAGGATTCACGAGATGATGTGGTGGAACAAAAAGAAACTGTTGTAAAAGTAGCTGACATCTTCATACATGAAATAAAGCTACTTAAAGTAGAGCATGAACAGCAGGTGGCTGAATTAGAGAAGTTGGCTTTGTCTTTTCACTTGTCTATACCTCTAATCTTGTCTATTAATATGTTTTCTCTTCTTTTATAGAAGTGTTCAGCTCCAGTAGAACAAATATCTTGACATCAGTTAGAAACTGCAAATGAATTCATTTAAGAGTAAATTACATGTTGTCCTTGAGTACAACTCATTTTTTCAATTATAGTCCCAGAATGTTTTCTTTTCAAATTTTGGTCACTTATTTGAGGTTATATAAGAAAATCCACTATATTTTTTGGGGCAAAAATTGTCATCTTACTTGGAAAATGAACCGAAAATGATATGAAAACTTCAAGTAAGGACCAATATTACAAAACATATTACTTGATGACGAAAAACGATTACTCTTTTGACAGTTGTAGAGCAAATTCACAAAAAATGCTTGTGGGCGTGGAAAGTTAGTCGCCTTTCTGGGAAGCCATTCTGAAGTAAGTTCATGCTTCAGATTATTTATTTATTTTTTTGTTTGTGTGTATTAGATTCAAAAAAAAAATTGTATTTCCTTTGTGTGTGATTATTATATTTTGGTAAGGGAGGGTGCAAGTATGGGGTTGTTCCGTGATTTAGTTTTCGTTAGGATGTATTAGAAAACGATAGAGACAACGCTTCTTTCATGTTCGAGGTATGTATCCTTCCTATTGCGCCATTTATCTACCACCTCCCTACTTAACCAGTTAGGTGCATACAATTTGTTGCTAATAGTTTGAACTAACATGTATTTATTCTAAACTAAATTCTTCTTCATGAATGTTGTGGGTTTATACCCACATAATTTATATTAAATCTGAATTTTTTCATTTTTTTATAATCTTATATTAGCATGGGATGGGAGTTGTTAGTTGTATAATTTTTGAGTGAAGTTGACTATTTTAACATTTTGTGAAGTAATATCAATTTATGGTTTTGTGATGTTTTTGGTCCCAACAACAGAAGAAACAGTTTCTAAATTCAGCTTCTTTACTCCCTTCCTTGGGATTCTTTCTCTAGATACAATAACCTTAAGAAAAAGATAGAAAACGTTCATTTAGAATTGACATTCTTATTGAGGCATGTAATATGTGATAACACTTTAATTACATGTATGCAAACAGTAACAAAAAAAAAATTTTAAAATTAGCCCATACGATAGCATGTGGTAAATCAGGTGGATCTGGTTTTGAAGAAACATACACATGAAACACATAAAGAAGCATATTTTTTTGATCACTAACCCAGTTTTTTAATTTATTTATGATGTCTTATTGTCACTTTTGTATATGGATGTATAATATCATTATCTACTTTAAAATTTGAAATTTTTTGAAATGCAAGTTTGGTTACTTTGTTATTTGCATCCTCTTCTTAGAGGATTATGTTTCAAAGTTTAAATTGTCCCGGACACTTAACCAAATAGACCTCAAATAGTGGCGATCTTTGTGGAGATCATTACAAAGGTGTCAACAGTTCATTAGTGACAAAAATATGCTAAATCTCAATTCCCAAATCTGTATATTTTTATATATTTTTGTGTTATTCTTTTAACTTTTTTTTGAATCTTCGGTACTTCAAACTGACGATTATTATAAAAATGCAGGGAATATTTGAATGCTGATATTATAAAACCGAGAAATGAACAAATGTCAACCACAATGACAATGTTACGTCTGATTAATGGCAAATTACGCAGAATAGCAACATAACGTATAAGACACATGAACAATCACACAAAACTAACACCTTCCACAACGTGCAACGCGCGGGAGACCCCTCTAGTTGTAATTATAAACGGGTATAAAAATTTGTATTTAAGAGACTACGTTTATAAAAGATTGAGATAGATGTTGGTATCTTTTAAAAGCTCAGCTCTCATTAGACCTATCAACTTCATCCATCGTTACTCACAATCAAAGATCACCATGGTTAGAAAACTATGAGACACTACCCTTGCATTAGAGGGTTAATATTTGAGAAATATTTCAAACCCACCCACTAAGGAGCTGATATTTCGAAAACTGATTTCCTAACTTAAACACAAGAAAAAAGAAATTAACAATCAAACATTAAAACAATTGAAAAATACTAAAGGGCTTTTTGGGCTAGCGGTATATGATCGAAACCGAACCGTTTTAAGGTTCGTGTTATTTGGGTTTCATGTTATTTTGGTTTGGGTTGTTCAAGTAGGTAATACAGGTATCGGGTGATTTGGTTCAAAGTCAAGCCCAATTCCTTTCAAAATCATTCATTCAAAATCAAAATTTTCATATAGTATAATAAAACATTAAGTCTACTTAAGCTTTATGGTTTTAAAATGAGAAGAAATTTGGTGAAAAGAGTTCTAGGTATCCCATGTCTATCGGCAAAGAAAACAAAAAGGTCATTTTCATAGTTATAAAATAAAAAAAGTTGACAAATAACAATTTACAAGTCTAGTAAAATACAAGTGTTTTTAAATAAAATTCAAAAACCAATAATTTTTTTGTTTAACAAAATAAAATAACGAGCCTAAAAAGGATGAATATTTATTTTGTATAAAATCGTTTAACAAATAATTATAAGTGCTTGTTTAAGATTTTTCGCAAAATGAGCTAATTAAATGTAGGATGTTTAACTAATCATTTTGAGTTTTAAAGTATATATATATATATATATATATATATATATATATATATATATATATATATATATATATATATATATATATATATATATATATATATATATATATATATATATATATATTTTCCGGTCATTTGGGTTACCCGGATTAAGAAAAAGTTAACCATATACAAACTAAAAAAGATATCTTTATCTGGCTATCCGGACCAAATATACCAAGCCTTATTGTATTCGTCTGAGGTTATTCGGTTTTGGTATCTTTACACCCCCATAAGTCTTCGTAAATAGGTCACAGGTTAAAGATGGAGAGTTGAGATATTATAAAATTATGATAATGAGTTTACTTACTCTAATACCTTTATGTTATATTTACATCAAATTAAATGAATTTAAATTTATTATTAACTATAAAATAGCTTCAGATTTAAATTAATATGTGGCCGAGATGAGATGATTTTGGTGTTAAATAACTATAACTAGAGCCCTGTTATTAATGCAATAAGCAATGACTCGATAACTTTTATTTTTTAACCGGAAACTAACCTACTCTTAAATACAATTTATGTCTCCTAACCTTTCTTTTGAAAATGTCTCCTTACGACCTCATCACTTGGCCAATTCCAATTTGATAATGACTCGATAATTTGGAATTTAGTTATTGAAAAGTCCACCACAATCGATTATAAATAGAATGCACATTTCCTTAGTCAAAGCATCAGGAGAATAACACTAATTAAACATGCATAAACTTCCAACTATCGACTTCACCAACAAGAGAAACTTGAACCCTGGTTCAACTTCATGGCTCACCACTTCCATTGAAGCTACTCGAGCCCTTGAACAATACGGATGTTTCATAGCAGAATACGACCAAGTACCACTCGACCTCCACAACGTTGTCTTCCAAGCATTACAAGACTTGTTTGATCTCCCAATCGAAACCAAAGTACAAAACAAGTCCACAAAGCCCTTGTCCGGCTATGTCGGCCAAATCCCTTTCATTCCACTCTATGAAAGCATGGGGTTTGATTACTCCAACACCTTTGATGGCGTTCGTAGTTTCACAGATGTCATGTGGCCCCTTGGAAACGAAGCTTTTGGGTAACCACTATTCTTGATTCTCTCTTTCTTCAATTGCATATATATTAAGTATTAACGTACACTTGTGTGCGTTGATATACTGTTAGGGCAACACTACTAGCATACAACGGGCTGGTAGCAAAGTTGGAAGAAATGGTGACGAGAATGGTGTTTGAAAGATATGGTGTGGAGAAGCACTTTGATGCTCATAGGAACATGGTGACATACCTTTGTAGGGGCATGAAGTACAGAATACCAGAGAAGAACGAAACTAATATGGGGTTCGTTGCTCATACGGATAAAAATTTCATCACTGTTTTGCATCAAAATCAAGTTGATGGTTTAGAGGTAAAAGCGAGGGATGGTGAGTGGTTCACAGTTGAGCTCTTGCCAACCTCATACATAGTCATGTCGGGTGATGCAGCCATGGTTAGTGATCTTAATCGGCCTTCAAAAGCAATTTATTCTATAATAACGGATGATTTTTAAACTTGTGATCAGGCTTGGAGCAACGAAAGATTGTATTCACCTTATCATCGAGTTACTATGAATGGAAATGCAAGTAGATATTCGATAGCCCAATTTTCTTTTCTGGAAGGGATCATAGAAACACCAGAAGAATTTGTGGACGAAGAGCACCCATTACAGTTTAAGCCATTTGATCATCTGAAATACCTTGATTTCTATAACAAGGAGGAAAACCGAAAACTTGAATGTGCCATAAGAACCTACTGTGGAGTGTGAGACTTGAAAATATATGTTTTAATCGTACGTGCTGTTGATCGAGAGTTATAATGCTTCTTAATATGTGGGCTTGAATAATGTAAAGGGCATTTGAGCCTGCTGCTTTGTGTCCATGCTGGTTTATTCCTGTAATAATGAAAACCATATGTTTTGCAAACACATTTATATATATCGACACATAAATGAATGCAAAGAAAACAAAAATGTTAACTAGAGAAAACTCCTAATATAACTCGGTGGTTTTACTATGGGATGATTAAAAAAATTAAATATAGAAAGAAAAAAAGTATTTATTGTAATTCATTATTACATTGATTAGGGCATCAAAATGCATTAAACTTATTAGAGTTTAATGGAATGACACATCATCGTTGTACTTAATATACAACTCTACATAAATTTTCTCACAGTGCATTGAACTCAATAGAGTTCAATGGAATATATATACTTAAGGGGTGTTAGGATAGGGAAAAAAAAACATGTTTATTGCTTATTGCTTATTCCCGCAACAATAAGCTAAATTTAAATGTTTTAAAAAAATCATTAAAAATCAGCTTATTGTGTTACGAATAAGCTAAATAAACTAATTTTAATAAGGATCTTCTTTATTGTTTATTGTTTATTGCTTATTCCCATCACAAATAAGCTAATAAGCTAATCCAAACACCCCCTTAATAGTTAAAATGTTTCTTTTTTCCATTGAGTTAAATGGTCATTGAACTCCATATCTATTTAATACCAACATGACAACTCATAATGATAGAGTTTAATCCATTGAATGTTGATTAAACATGTCATCTTATTCAATTCTCTCATTAA